AGAGTTGGCACTGATCTTTTGTTTTATGAGTGGTTCTATCTAAATAAAAATTGCTCTGAACAAGTTTTCTCATTTTTCGACTAAACTTGGGCCTGAGTTACCGTTGAAGGCTCCATGCAGGAATTCGGAGGGTGAAGAATAGCAGCATAAGTGATGGGAGCATTGCTTTGTGATACGTCTGTAGAGGTTTAGTTAAATATACTAGGCATGAAACACCTCACAGCGAACTAATCATGCTGGTTTGGGCAACATTCTGTCTATTTCTTCTCCCCCTACCTCCCTTTGAGGGGAAATCGTTCTTCTCACTCAACTATCACAAGTAAGTAGGTGGGCTGGAATCGACCGTGGCACAGCAACGACTCCAAAGCGCCTAACTTGACTCACAGAAGGTAGGTACATTATCGGTGAATCAAATCGGTGGTTTACGTAGGATGTTAACATATCTGGCTCCTTGCAGAGGGTAATTGCTGTATCCGGTCAATGTATGCCTATGCTTCTGAGGCGAGAGAGAAAAGCTGCCAAAACCGATTACCCAGATGTCCGATTCGTACCTATTACCATTCACCTTATTAGAGAAGAAGACTATTATGGTTCTCATGACCCAGCCAACAGTTTCATTTTAGCTCATTTTCCTTCCCCACCAACAGACAAGAAACAAAGGCTCGGGTGGAGAAATTCTGATTTGCAAATGCACAAAGATATCACACATACTGGTTCGCTTACAAACTAAGGGAAAAAAGACATTCGACTAGGCCTCTTTACCGGAGAGCACGGCGTTTTGAAAACCACTCCCTCCCGCTTTGATGTTGACAGCTCAGTTTGGCTTCCGTCTCTCCTTTCTTTTTTTTCGCATCCCCCTCTCGGTCCCCGTCACGTTTGCTATCATCACGGTGAAGTGAATGACTATCGTCGCCTCAGAATCGTCTGAAGAATAGAACAACAAGTTAATTAAAAGGTTCCAACAACAAGACCAAGTTATACAGTCAATGCATATCACAACGGTTTTAATTATTTTTGCGTCGCTGAAATGCATTGCATGGAACTCTGACAACTATATCTCAACGGTGGTTAAGAAATGGAAGAGGTATTTGCACAACTTCGGTTCAGTCCATGAAAAACCTATACATACACACCTCAGTGTCCAACTAGAGGAAAAATACGATTTATCACGTGAGGCACCACCAAAAGTTGCATTGATTTTTGACAATTTTTAGGCTTCATTTGGCTTCATAAAAAACAAAAGATATT